CCCCCCCCCCCCCCCCCCCCCCTGACCACATCTCTAAATCTGCCACTGTTTAGCATCGTTCTGCGCGAGTAAATTCGGCGGTTTGGAGGGGGGGGCAAACCTATTCTGACTTATGATTACACTGTTGTTGTTATCATTATTATTATTTCATTTATTTGCACGTTAAGATGAAAGATAATCCACGCGTCCGGTTGTCGGCTGGATTGTAAGATGTACGTTTTTAAGCATATAAACCGCATAATTAAGACGTTTCCTGTTAACGCTGTGTACTTAACTGACCCATTTTAAAACTAGCCCCGTCCTCCTTCCAAGATTTGAAGTCCTATGTTCCACGGGAATAAATTCATTTTAATATTGCGCTTTCATGACGCGACGGCATCACTTTGCAAAACAAACTCAACATTTGTCTTTATTCTACTTTGAATATCCATAACATAAGTTCTAACCAGAACGATCGAAATAGGGCCGTTAATTGTAATATAATTTTTACGATCTCTCTCAAGGAGTAGACGTTTTTTCTCCACAGTTTATTAGAAATCTTTCTTTCTTCCTTCAGAAGCACAGCAGGGGTGCTATCTCTACAGATACTGTATGTCAAAAATCAGAGAAAATTCTCTCGAGTGTTCACAATTATGTAATGGAAAGATTGACAATTTTTCCTCATTACCGTTCGTCTTTAATACATGTATCTGACACAACCCGAACAATTTTTCTACCTACTGAGCCGTCTCAGTTGGGAAGTGAATTGAACCAGATTTTGGCATGCTAGTCATATACGCGAGTTAATTTTGTGACATCTTTTTAATACTTTGACATATATCACCTATTTTTTAGTACATTGTTGTTAACATTATCCAAAATATCTACAGAGTATCTACAAAGTGCAGGATCATCCCACAACGTCCCCCTCTTTCTTTCCAATTAACTGTAATCTTGGTGAACCTAGCTCATGTAATTAAAAAGGACCTGCTGGGACCTTAAGGTTATGACGTTCCACCCTTTCTTCCATTTCTTACATGCATTTTATTAAAGTACTATTAACTTAGGAAAGGCTCGAACTTAGTCTATGTACCATAATGTAATATAAAACATGAACTCAATTTTTCTTTCAAATATTTTACTTTTTTCTGTGCAAATCAATCACATTTTAATGTAAGGAATTAAAATTTCTTACACCACAATCAGATTCACACATACTGATCAGTCCAACTCTGCAAGGGATTCTTGCTGAAGTGCAATCAATGTAATCAGCTTTATTGTCTGACAAGAATTGAGTACCAGGGTGGGGGGAAGGAACTATCTTGTGTTGTATAGCGAATTCCACTGATTGCACTTTTTGCAGAGTTCCCGACAGAGTCGGACCAGCCCAGTTAGTATAATGACTAGATCCTTAGCAACTGCTTTTGGCAGCTGGCTTCTCAACTTATTTTTAATTAAATAATGAATGTTGTATGTTTGAAGCAGATGCATTTGTTTTCAGAGCAGTAGGCTTCAGAGCATGGTAAATAATTTGTTACATGCAACATTCACATCCCTGGCATATACATGCCATACATGTAAGGATTAGGGTTATCTCCGTGATAAACAGCCTCTGGAGTAGGGAACACATTACTGGAGTGTGGACCCCTAAATGAGGTTTCCATTTGCTGAGATCTCAATGTACTGTCAGTGTGCTGAGGTCTGAATGTACTCTCACTGTGCTGGGGTTTATATGTGCTATCAAACTGTTGACTGATGAATGAACTGTCCAACTGCTGACTCATTTCCAAACCATCAGAGTTTTCACTGTCAAAGCCGTCCTCAGCACGCTGGCTTTTGTGAATTTTAGCTAGACTTTTCACTTTATTTTCAGCTGTCTGCTGTTTAACCGCTTTCTGTCCAATGTGCGTCTTTTCATGTGCTCTGCGATGAGTTTGAGTTTTGAAAGCCTTATCACAGTATTTGCATTTAAATGGTCTCTCCCCAGTGTGAGTCCTTTCATGTTTAGCAAGGGTACCTCTGTCACGGAAACCTTTTCCACAGTATGAACATATTTGTGGTTTAATTCCAAGGTGGGTTTTCACATGACCTCTCCAAGTGGCTTTCCTTACGAATCGCTTGCCACAGTGATCACACTTGAAAGGCTTTTCCCCCGTGTGGAAGCGTTCATGTTCCTCACAGGCTAATTTTAGGGCAAAGCCCTGTCCACAGTATTGACATTTGTGTGGCCTCTCTCCAGAGTGTTGGGTGAATTCATGAGATTTCAAAGTCGAGGTTTGGGCAAAGCTTTTGGTACAATACTGGCACAAATAAGGTTTTTCCCCAGTGTGAGTATATTCGTGGCTCTGCCATGAGCTTTTAAATAGAAATGACTTATCACAGGTGTTGCATTTGTAGGGTTTTTCAACAATGTGAAACTTTTCATGCTTGTCAAGTGCTCTCTTTCCCCAACAAGATTTTCCACAATGACAACATTTAAATTCATGTGACTTGTCATGTTCCACTAAATCATCTTTTTTACTAAATATCTTTTCACACTGGAGGCATTTGAATCCATCAATAGTGTGAGATTTTTCATGAAAAATGAGTTCACTTTCATTAAAAGTTTCATCACAGTACGAGCACTTTATCTTTTCTGCAGTGGTGTATGGTTCATCATCAATGTGAATCCTCTCATGATTGTCAAGAGCCTGTGTTCCCCAACAAGACTTTCTACACAAAGAACATTTCAATTCATGGATTTTATCATGCTCCAGTAGCTCACTTTTCTTACTGAAAATTTCTTCACAGTGTTTACATTTGACTTTGTCAGCAGTGTGACTTATTTCATGCAAGAAAAGTTCGCTTTCCCTTTGAAATGTTTCATTACATTGAGAGCACTGATATATTTCCATTTCCATGCGGTATTGTGCAACAGTGTGATTCCTCTCATGTTTTCTAAGAGCTTTTGTTCCCCTACAAGATTTACCACAATAAGAACATTTCAATCCATGAGTTTTATCGTGCTCCAATAAGTCTTCCTTCCTCGTAAAGGATTTTTCACAGTGTTTACATTTGAGTCTATCACCAGTGTGGATCAATTCATGTAATACAAGCGAACTCTTATGAGTAAATGTTTTATCACAAAATGAGCATTTAAGTACTTCTGTACTACTGTCCATTTTATTGCAAGCATGAATCCTTTCATGACTGGAAAGAGCTTTTGTTCCCCAACAAGATTTACCACAATGAGAGCACTTCAATTCATGGATTTTATCGTGCTCCAATAGATCATCCCTTTTTGTAAATGATTTTTCACAATGTTTACATTTGAGACGATCATCAGTGTGAATCATTTCATGCACAGTAAGTGCACTTTGCTTTGTCACTATTTTATCACAGTAAGAGCACTTGTATATTTTTGGTCTCTGTTGCAACTTTGAAATGTGAGAATCTAGCTCATGTCTCTTCAGAGCTTTTGGCCCCCAACAAGATTTTCCACAATATGAGCATTTCAGCTCATGAACTCTACCATGCTCCTTCAGATCAGTTGCCCTGGTAAATGACAATTCACAGTATTCACATTTATAATTTGTTTCACCAGTGTGGGATCTTTCATGCAATGCATGTGTATTTGCCCTGTTGAATGTTCTTTCACAGTAAGAGCAATGGTATACTTTTGGTTTCAAATATAGGGTTTTCCTACCATTTCCTTCATGCTTTTTTAGGCTTTCTCTTTCTTTGCTATGGTCATTGTCCTCACCAAAACTGATGTCAATTATTTCATGTTTGATAAGCACCTCACTATTTTGTTCTTGATTGTTGGTATTGCAAGACATATTTTCCCCATCACTCATTTCCTGATCCTCTCCTGATTCCCCATCGCCATGATTGTCTGGTAGATCTAACTGTGCATCAATGTGGAGGGCTATTATCTTCCTTTTCATTGCCACAAAATCTTTCATGACACCCAGACACCTGCCACAACAAGCATCTGATTCATGAGGAGGAGAAAGTATTTTCAACAGTCCACGGATTTCTTTTTCAACATCAGGATAAGAAGAAACTTTTGTGTATTCAGTTTTTAAGATGCCTTTGGGTGGGCCACAGATAAGGCACAAAGGTTTTCTTTTCAATTTTTTGTTAATCGAATCATCAGAAATCTTGATGCTGATGCACAGTGTATCAGCATGATTACTGAATTCAGGTGAATTCATATCGCCACAACCATTTTCAACCTTCACACTATGATCTCTTGCATCTAGTTGCATTTCTCCATCATTATCTGTGGCCTCATCGGATTCATTATAAGTACCTTCTTTGTTCAAAGTCACGTTCTTTCCATCTGATCCGCATTCTCGATCGTCATTAATTGCGTTTTTATAACTTTCTCTTGACGAAGACATGGCATCAGTAATGGCTGTGCTATGGGTCGTCTTTTCTTGCTCAAGATCTTCTTTAAATAACCTTAAAAACGAAAAATAATCTCCCAATCTTATATCGTTTCGCTAGAGAAAAATCAATTCAAGTGCGAACAAAGGGAAAGTGCTGTCTTTCGATTGTATGAAATAAAGTCATTTACATTTTCTTATTTAAATTTTCTGTATATATCGATGTATTCTTTTGTTTATTCATAGTATATACAACTTTGTAAAGAAAAATTTAGCCAAATTGAGAAAATTATAACGCAATGTCGCAATTCACCAATATGCTCACCTCCTAAAGCTCAGCCTGTCTTGGTTTCTTTAGCTAATTACACTATTACACCAATCGGCAATCCTCGACTGACTTCGCAAGCTCCATACAGACTCAGAATCAGAAGTTTATTGACAATCGCCCTACATCCGGGCATAAGCAAATACAAATACAAGAAGTAAGGCTTCGTTCACATGCAATGTCTATTTTCTAAATTCTATTTTCTATTCGCGCTATCTTATGAGACATACCGCGAATAGAAAATAGAATTTAGAAAATAGACATTGCATGTGAACGAAGCCTAATTCGCAGAGTGATTACCATATACAGTTTGATATACATTATATAACGTCTAGACTAAAGCAGGGAAAGTACAAGTACTACTCAATATAGATCAATATAGATCTAGGGGAAAAAAACTGATTCAACTAGAATAGGCTACACTAAACCTTATATTAAACTAACTTTTATTTAGGGGGATATGAAAACTGCATCGTCAGTTAATCTAGGTTTTATTCAGCATGGATGCAATTTTTATATCCCTAGCTTTAAAACAACCATAAATAAAATTAGTTGTGCGTTTTGCAATATCAAAATCATTACATTGCAGTACGGTAATAAAAAGTTCATTGATGGACTCAGGGGCTGCACTGCCCAGTATATCTTTAACCTGGTTAAGGAATATGGCTCTCAGTGGAGCATAACAGGGGCATATCATCATAAAATGGAACTCATCTTCAACTGACCACATGTTGCACACCGTGCATAGCCTTTTCTCTGACGGTATTTTAGGATTCATGCAATTGTCGAGTGCGGAGAAATCCGAGTAGTTCCGAGTGTTACACCCACAGCACTGCCCGGTTTATGACGTCATGGATAGCCACAAATTGCTCGATAAATATTTGATACTACATTAAATACCGAGGTCCTTCCCTCCCTTGGCTGACGTCCCTCTTATTTCAAGTAATTGTATTTAGCAATGGCGGATCCAGGATTATTTGAAGGACGGGGGTGGGATACGCGGATGCGAAGCCGACCCCCCCCCCTCCCCCCTGGCGTATTTCCCTGGGTTCGGGGCCCCCAAAATTTTCGTATTATAGAGGGCGAATGATGCCATAAGGTACGGTTTAGAACTATAATTCAATTTGTCAAAATTCTAATTTCAAGAGGGGAATATTACTTTGATTTTTTCAACATTTGTTTTTATTCTACGTTCGACAAGTAAAAAACAAAAACATTATCAGCAAATTAAACTCAATTATCATAATAACTTTGAATATCAATAACATAAGTTCTAACCAGAACGATCGAAATAGGGCCGTTAATTTTAATATAATTTTTACGATCTTTCTCAAGGAGTAGACTTTTTTTCTTCACAGTTTATTAGAAATCTTTCTTTCTTCCTTCAGAAGCACAGCAGGGGTGAGATCTCCACAGATGCTGTATGTCAAAAATCAGAGCAAATTCTCTCGAGTGTTCACAATTATGTAATGGAAAGATTGACAATTTTTCCTCATTACCATTACCGTTCGTCTTTATCTGACACAATTTAACCCGAACATTTTTCGACCTACTGAGCCGTCTCAGTTGGGAAGTGAATTGAACCAGATTTTGGCATGCTAGTCATATACGCGAGTTAATTTTGTGACATCTTTTTAATACTTTGACTTATATCACCTATTTTTTAGTACTTTGTTGTTGACATTTTCCACGATATCTACAGCGTATCTACAAAGTGCAGGATCATCCCCCTCTTCCTTTCCAATTAACTGTAATCTTGGTGAACCTAGCTTATGTAATTAAAAAGGACCTGCTGGGACCTTAAGGTAATGACGTTATACCCTTTCTTCCATTTTTAACAAGCATTTTATTAAAGTACTATTAACTTGGGAAAGGCTCGAACTTCGTCAATGTACCATAATGTAAGATAAAACCCGAGCTCAATTTTTCTTTCAAATATTTTACTCTTTTCTTTGCAAATCAATCACATTTTAATGTAAGGAGTTAAAATTTCTTACACCACAATCAGATTCACACATACTGATCAGTCCAACTCTGCAAGGGATTCTTGCTGAAGTGCAATCAATGAAATCAGCTTTATTGTCTGACAAGTATTGAGTACCAGGGCGGGGGGAATGAACTGTATTGTGTTTTATAGCGAATTCCACTGATTGCACTTTTTGCAGAGTTCCCGACAGAGTCGGACCAGCCCAGTTAGTATAATGACTAGATCCTTAGCAACTGCTTTTGGCAGCTGGCTTCTCAACTTATTTTTAATTAAATAATGAATGTTGTATGTTTGAAGCAGATGCATTTGTTTTCAGAGCAGTAGGCTTCAGAGCATGGTAAATAATTTGTTACATGCAACATTCACATCCCTGGCATATACATGCCATACATGTAAGGATTAGGGTTATCTCCGTGATAAACAGCCTCTGGAGTAGGGAACACATTACTGGAGTGTGGACCCCTAAATGAGGTTTCCATTTGCTGAGGTCTCAATGTACTGTCAGTGTGCTGAGGTCTGAATGTACTCTCACTGTGCTGGGGTTTATATGTGCTATTAAACTGTTGACTGATGAATGAACTGTCCAACTGCTGACTCATTTCCAAACCATCAGAGTTTTCACTGTCAAATCCGTCCTCAGCACGCTGGCTTTTGTGAATTTTAGCTAGACTTTTCACTTTATTTTCAGCTGTCTGATGTTTAACCGCTTTCTGTCCAATGTGCGTCTTTTCATGTGTTCTGCGATGAGTTTGAGTTTTGAAAGCCTTATCACAGTATTTGCATTTAAATGGTCTCTCCCCAGTGTGAGTCCTTTCATGTTTAGCAAGGGTGCCTCTGTCACGGAAACCTTTTCCACAGTATGAACATATTTGTGGTTTAATTCCAAGGTGGGTTTTCACATGGCCTCTCCAATTGGCTTTCCTTACAAATCGCTTGTCGCAGTGATCACACTTGAAAGGCTTTTCCCCCGTGTGGAAGCGTTCATGTTCCTCACAGGCTAATTTTAGGGCAAAGCCCTGTCCACAGTATTGACATTTGTGTGGCCTCTCTCCAGAATGTTGGGTGAATTCATGAGATTTCAAAGTCGAGGTTTGGGCAAAGCTTTTGGTACAATACTGGCACAAATAAGGTTTTTCTCCGGTGTGAGTATTTTCATGGTCTTGCAAAAATCTTCTACATGAAAATGACTTATCACAGGTGTTACATTTGTAGGGTCTTCCAACAGTATGAAACTTCTCATGTTTGTCAAGCGCTCTCTTTCCCCAACAAGATTTTCCACAATGACAACATTTAAATTCATGTGACTTGTCATGATCCACTAAATCACTTTTTTTAGTAAATGTCTTTTCACACTGGAGACATTTGAATCCATCAATAGTGTGAGATTTTTCATGAAAAATGAGTTCACTTTCGTTAAAAGTTTCATCACAGTATGAGCACTTTATCTTTTCTGCAGTGGTGTATGGTTCATCATCAATGTGAATCCTCTCATGCTTGTCAAGAGCCTGTGTTCCCCAACAAGACTTTCCACACAGAGAACATTTCAATTCATGGATTTTATCATGCTCCAGTAGCTCACTTTTCTTACTGAAAATTTCTTCACAGTGTTTACATTTGACTTTGTCAGCAGTGTGACTTATTTCATGCAAGAAAAGTTCGCTTTCCCTTTGAAATGTTTCATTACATTGAGAGCACTGATATATTTCCATTTTCATGCGGTATTGTGCAACAGTGTGATTCCTCTCATGTTTTCTAAGAGCTTTTGTTCCCCTACAAGATTTACCACAATAAGAACATTTCAATCCATGAGTTTTATCGTGCTCCAATAAGTCTTCCTTCCTCGTAAAGGATTTTTCACAGTGTTTACATTTGAGTCTATCACCAGTGTGGATAAATTCATGTGATACAAGCGAACTCTTATGAGTAAATGTTTTATCACAAAATGAGCATTTAAGTACTTCTGTACTACTGTCCATTTTGTTGCAAGCATGAATCCTTTCATGACTGGAAAGAGCTTTTGTTCCCCAACAAGATTTACCACAATGAGAGCACTTCAATTCATGGATTTTATCGTGCTCCAATAGATCATCCCTTTTTGTAAATGATTTTTCACAATGTTTACATTTGAGACGACCATCAGTGTGAATCATTTCATGCACAGTAAGTGCACTTTGCTTTGTCACTATTTTATCACAGTAAGAGCACTTGTATATTTTTGGTCTCTGTTGCAACTTTGAAATGTGAGAATCTAGCTCATGTCTCTTCAGAGCTTTTGGCCCCCAACAAGATTTTCCACAATATGAGCATTTCAGCTCATGAACTCTACCATGCTCCTTCAGATCAGTTGCCCTGGTAAATGACAATTCACAGTATTCACATTTATAATTTGTTTCACCAGTGTGGGATCTTTCATGCAATGCATGTGTATTTGCCCTGTTGAATGTTCTTTCACAGTAAGAGCAGTGGTATACTTTTGGTTTCAAATATAGGGTTTTCCTACCATTTCCTTCATGGTTTTTTAGGCTTTCCCTTTCTTTGCTATGGTCATTGTCCTCACCAGAACTGATGTCAATTATTTCATGTTTGATAAGCACCTCACTATTTTGATCTTGGTTGTTGGTATTGCAAGACATATTTTCCCCATCACTCATTTCCTGATCCTCTCCTGATTCCCCATCGCCTTGACTGTCTGGTAGATCTACCTGTGCATCAACGTGGAGGGCTATTATCTTCCTTTTCATTGCCACAAAATCTTTCATGACACCCAGACAGCTGCCACAACAAGCATCTGATTCACGAGGAGGAGAAAGTATTTTCAACAGTCCACGGATTTCTTTTTCAACATCAGGATAAGAAGAAAGTTTTGTGTATTCAGTTTTTAAGATGCCTTTGGGTGGGCCACAGATAAGGCACAAAGGTTTTCTTCTCAATCTTTTCTTAATCGAATCATCAGAAATCTTGATGCTGATGCACAGTGTATCAGCATGATTACTGAATTCAGGTGAATTCATATCGCCACAACCATTTTCAACCTTCACACTATGATCCATTGCATCTAGTTGCATTTCTCCATCATTATCTGTGGCCTCATCTGATTCATTATAAGTACCTTCTTTGTTCAAAGTCACATTCTTTCCATTTGATCCGCATTCTTGATCGTCATTAATTGCGTTTTTATAACTTTCCCTTGACGAAGACATGGCATCAGTAATGGCTGTGCTATGGGTCGTCTTTTCTTGCTCAAGATCTTCTTTAAATTACCTTTAAAACGAACAATAACCTCCCAATCTTGTCGTTTCGCTAGAGAAAAATCAATTCAAGTGCGAACAAAGGGAATGTGCTGTCTTTCGATTGTATGAAATAAAGACATTTATATTTTCTTACTTAAAATTTCTTTTCTGTGTATATCAATGTATTCTTTTGTTTATTTAAAGTATAGACTGAAAATAAAAACCTAGCCAAATTGATAGAATTATAACGCAATGTCGCAAATCACCAATATGCTCACCTCCTAAAGCTCAGCCTGTCTTGGTTTTTTTAGCTAATTACACTATTACACCAATCGGCAATCCTCGGCTGACTCCGCAAGCTCCATACTGTCGAGTGCGGAGACATCCGAGTAGTTCCGAGTGTTACACCCACAGCACTGCCCTGTTTATGACGTCATGGATAGCCCCAAATTGCTCGATAAATATTTATGCTTCATCATGGACCTAATGAGAGATGCGACAATTAATTTCGTTTAATTGGTCTTTAAAGGTTTTTGTAATAATAATTGGAAAAGGGGAATGGCAGTTATTTATGTCTGAAAGACATTTTAGACACTTCGACTCCTCTCCACGAGTTTTTATTTAGGATCAAATCGCATTTAATTAGGCCGGTACATATTTGACGGAAAAGATGTACCTGGCACTTTCAAATAACTTAGTCTTAGGTCCTCCTGTCCATTATAGGACATTGGGCGGCAAACTGTTTTCAACTTGTTCGGTCGGCAGCGGCCGTCTCTATCTCCTCCCACCTGATGTTGCCTCTATGCAGATCATTCTCGAAGGTTCTCCTCCAGGTCTCCTTGGTCTACCTCTTTTGGTAAATGTTAAATACCGAGATCCTTCCCTCCCTTGGCTGACGTCCCTCTTATTTCAAATAATGGCATTTAGCAGTGGTGGATCCAGGATTATTTGAAGGGGGGGGGGGGGGGAGGTATGCGGATGCGAAGCTGACCACCTCCCTCCCTCCCTCCTGGCGTATTTCCCTGGGTTCGGGGCCCCCAAAATTTTGGTATTTTAGAGTACGAATGGTGTCATAAGGTACGGTTTAGAACTATGATTCAACTTGTCAAAATTCTAATTTCAAGAGGGGAATATTACTTTGATATTTTTTTTCAGACCCCCCCCCCCCCCCAACCACACCTCTAAATCTGCCACTGTATGGCATCGTTCTGCGCGGAGTAAATTCAACGGTTTGGGGAGGGGGGTCAAACCTTTTCTGACTTATGATTACACTGTTGTTGTTATCATTATTATTTTATTTATTTACCTATTTGCACGATAAGAGGAAAGATTACCCACGCGTCCGGTTGTCGGCTGGATTGTAAGATGTACGCTTTTACGCATATAAACCGCATAATTTAACTTCTAAAAAAAACATTGAGACTGTTTCCTGTTAACGCTGTGTACTTAACTGACACATTTTGAAACTAGCCCCGTCTTCCTCCCAAGATTTGAAGTCCTATGTTCCACGGGAATAAATTTATTTTATTGCGATTTAATGACGCGGAGGCATCGCTTTGCAAAACAAACTTAACAATTGTTTTTATTCTACGTTTGACAAGTAAGAAAAGAACATAGTCAGCAAATTAAACTCAATTATTGTAATAACTTTGGGTATCCTTAACATTAGTTCTAACGATCGAAATAGAACCGTTAACTTTAATATAATTTTTAACGATCTCTCTCAAGGAGTACGTTAGACTTTTTTCTTCACAGTTTATTAGAAAATTTTTTCTTCATTCAGAAGCACAGCAGGGGTGCGATTTCTACAGGTGCTGTATGTCACAAATCGGAGCAAAATTTGTTGAGTGTTCACAGTTATGTAATGGAAAGATTGATAATTTTCCCCATTGAAATAATACCATTACCGTTCGTCTTTAATACATGTATCTGACACAACCCGGACATTTTTCTACCTACTGAGCCGTCTCAATTGGGAAGTGAATTGAACAAGATTTTGGCATATTAGTCATTTATTGGCATACTAGTCATATACGCAAGTTATTTTTGTGACATCCTATTTTTAGTACATTGTTGTAGACATTATCCAGGTGAACAATCTTGTGTTGTATAACTAATTCCACCGACTGCACTTTTTGCAGTTCCCGGCAGAGTTGGACCAGCCCAGTTAGTATAAAGTGTGAATCTGACTAGACTCTTCGCAACTGCTTTTGACAGCTGGCTTCTCAACCTATTTTTAATTAAGTAATGAAAGATGTATGTATGAAGTAGATGTGTATGTCTTCAGAACAGTAGGCTTAATTTGTGACATGCAACATTCACATCCCTGGCATATACATGCCGTACATGTAAGGATTAGGGTTATCTCCGTGATAAACAGCCTCTGGAGTAGGGAACACATTACTGGAGTGTGGACCCCTAAATGAGGTTTCCATGTGCTGAGATCTAAATGTACTGTCAGTGTGCTGAGGTCTGAATGTACTCTCACTGTGCTGGGGTCTATATGTGCTATCAAACTGTTGACTGATAAATGAACTGTCCAACTGCTGACTCATTACCAAACCATCAGAGTTCTCACTGTTAAAGTCATCTTCAGGGTGCTGACTTCTGTGATTTTTTGCTGGACTTTTTGCTTTACTTTCAGATGGTCGCTGTTTAACTGGTTTCTCTCCAGTATGACTTTTTTCATGTGCATTGCAATTAGATTTTCTTATGAATGCTTTATCACAGTACTTGCATTTAAATGGTCTCTCCCCAGTGTGAGTCCTTTCATGTGTAGCAAGGGTGCCTCTGTCACGGAAACCTTTTCCACAGTATGAGCAAACATGAGGTTTAATGCCAAGGTGGGTTTTTACATGATCTCTCCAATTAGATTTCCTCACAAATCTTCTGTCACAATAATCACACTTAAAAGGCTTTTCACCAGTGTGAAACCGTTCATGTTCTTCACAGGCTAATTTTACAGGAAAGCCCTGTCCACAGTACTGGCATTTATATGGTTTTTCGCGCGTGTGTTGGGTCCTTTCATGTAACTTCAAAGTTGAACTTTGAGCAAAGCTTTTGGTACAGTACTGACATAGATAGGGCTTCTCTCCTGTGTGGCATCTTTCATGCACTTCTAAGTCAACCCGAGAGGCAAATGACTTATCACAGGTATTACACTTATGTGGTTTCTCCCCAGTGTGAATCTTTTCATGCTTATTGAGAGCTTTCATTCCCCAGCACGTTTTTCCACAATGAGAGCATTTAAATTCATGCACTTTCTCATGCTCTACTAAATCATCTTTCCTGATAAAAGATTGTTCACATTGTTTACATTTCAGTCTGTCCCCTGTGTGAATCATTTCATGTAAAACAAGTGCACTTCTCCTGCTGAATGTTTTATCACAATGTGAGCACCTGCATATTTTTGTATTGGAGTTTGACTTTTCCACAGAATGAATTTTCTCATGTTTGTAAAGAGCTCTCATGCCCCGACATGTTTTACCACAATGAGAACATTTCAATTCATGGATTTTTTCATGCTCCCATAAATCAGCTTTACTGGTGAAAGTTTTTTCACATTGTTTACACTTGAGTCTATCATCTGTATGAATCAGTTCATGCAAAACAAGTGTATTTCTTCGAGTAAATGTTTTATCACAATGTGAGCACTTATACATATGAGCTGCAGAGTTGGTGACTTCTTTTTTGTTTTCATTCTTTACCTCACGTCCACTTTTCCTTTGAGATTTTAAAGCCTTGTTATCCAAACACCCTTTTTCATGTTTTGAACATGCACTTTTACTGAAAAATTTCTCATTACAATATTGACATTTAAATGTATTTATAATTGACTTGTAACGCCTTTCCCCTGTGTGAGTGTTTTCATGCTCAGCACACTCTTCTTTAGTTGTAAAGTTCTTGAAGCAAATCTTACATTTAAATGGTTTGTGTATTTTTTCATGCTGTACACAGTTGTTTTTTCTGCGAAAACTTTTGTCACAATAATGACACTGGAATGGTTTTTCTCCAGTGTGAATACTTTCATGTTCCTTCAATAGATGTATCTTTAAATCATACATTCCTGTAAAACTTTGACTGCAGTGCTGACACTTGTATTTTTTCAGACTTCCTTTTTCTTCACTGGAAATATTTTCTTCACCAAACCCTACATCAATAATTTCATGCTTGATTAGGACCTCACTATCTTGTTCTTGATTGTTGGGATTGCACGATTTATTTTCTAAATCACTTGTTTCAGTTTCATTATCCTCTCCACCCGATTCCTCATAGCCGTGACTGTCTGGTAGTTCTAACTGTGCATCAATGTGGAGGGCTATTATCTTCCTTTTCATTGTCAGTAAATCATTTTTAAGGTTAATAAAAACTTTCATAAAGCCCAGGCACCTGCCACAAATAGCATCTGATTCATCAGGAGGGGACAGGACTTTTAAAAGTTCTCTTATTTCTCTCTCAATGTCAGGACAAGAGGAAAGTTTTGTGAATTCAGTCTTGGGGGAGTCTTTGCGAGGTCCACAGACTAAGCACCTGGGACTCTGCTCTGTATCTTTACTGCTTGAATTATCTTCACCTGGGATACATTGGGAATCGGTATGATTATTTCTGGGAAATGAAAGAGGTTCTTTTACATCGCTATCACCAATCTCTTCATTCATTCTCTCAACACAAACAGCTGTCCCTACAGGTTGTATATTCCTGTCATTATCTATAGCTAAATCAGTCTCAGCGTCTTCTTTGTTGCTAGGTGCATTTTCTCTAGCTGAACTTAGATCCTTTTTCGGAACAACCGCACTTGCATTATCATCAGCTGAGGAGGACATCCATGGAGATGAGACGGCTTCTTGCCTGGCTTCTTCTTCAGGTGTGGACATATTTCGACCTTAATAACTCGTCCAGAGATAAGTTCACAGCGCAGAAAATATATTTGACTGACCTAGCTGCAGCAACACCATTCTGACTTCAAACTGAATAGCTTTGATCTCCTTAGGAAGTTCTATTATAGCTATTAAAGCTCTATTTTAAGGTTTGCTCCATTAACACAAAGGTCCTTCGAAAGGAAAAAATACTATGATGCGATAGTCTCATAGTTAAATACATTGACCTAGTAAATTATTTAATATGGTTCTGTGTAACAACAAATTCAAATTAAGAGAAATAATGGTTTCCTTCCTCTATAGATGTTTGATATTATTCAACTCGATTTAAATCCGGTAAATCACTGTGTAACGAAACACTTGTCGATAATCCCTAAAGACTTGGTTGAAGCTTTTCTTGGCGAATTGAGCTAATTCATTCGGCATTCGGCAAATTCCGGCCGATTTCGTAACTTGCATTATAATTTTTTAGCGAGGTACGAACCCCCGAAAGGGGTTTGCGATAGCATTAAAACACTTTTATTTTCTTAATTGTTTCTGGGGTCATTCTGGGGTCATTACAGAATATAGTAGTAATAACTATTTAAATGCTCTCATCAAACATTTAAATTTGAAACATAGAAAGCGGGCGCCTAATATTCTGTGTTAAAAAAAAAAAAAAAAAAAAAAAACTCACATAGGCTTACACCGCAGGTTCGCTTAGAGAGTAAAAAAGTTGAAGTTCGATATATATATATATATATATATATATATATATATATATATATACTATGATGATAATACTATGATTATGCGGAAATATACACTGTTACGTTATTCGATAATGCATGCTAGCTGTCTCTTCAAAAGAACATGGGCTAAAATTTCCCAACTCAAGCTGATGACGTAATGTACTGCAGCGTACGTTTAGTTTTGGGGCAGAAAATGTATAACCCATTTCATTTTTCATTCATTGGCATGTAATGTGCCTAATGTGCAAAGAACACCCAGCCTTGGTATTATAAGGGGGGCGTCTCGATAGTCCGAAGGTTCATTGGTCCGAAGGTTCATTGGTCCGAAAAACGGTAACATTTTCATCGGTTTTTTAATCAAGGGTTCATTGGGCCGAAGGTTCTGGAGTGAACATTCGGACCAATGAACCTTCGGACTATTGAACCTTCGGATTATATATAAAACACTCATTTCAAAATATATCCGCTATCAAAAAAGTCTAATGCCCATTTAAAGCATGTTAACAAAAGACAAAAAGGCCACACCGTGCTTAATTCATGTTTATCCTGTATAAAATCAAGTCATCCACTGATGCGTCCCACGTCCCAATTAACAAATGTAATACACCGGTACTTTGAGCAGGCTGGAATCATCAATTTAAAATCTTCATTTATCATGTAGAAAAAATGTATATAAAAGTAACAAATAAACAAATAACATTTTCAAATGTTAATACATGTACATACTAACTTTAACATGATAAACAGTGATTGCTGTGACAACTACACACCAGCTTCTTATTATTGTAATTACGTAAGTTTACACCCTCTTAATCCTACACCAATATATATTTCTGATGGATTGTGGAGCAGACTAGAAAATGTTCCAGGTAATGATTGGGATGTTTTTTCGGCCGTTTCCTCCACGACCGCAAAACCCTCTTCATAAAGATAAGCCTAATTGTTTCGTTCCCACTGGATTTAGTGATAGGGCAGGGGGTTGGAAACTAGGGAAATGATGTCGTCTTTTCTAACTATTGGTCGCCCACAAAGGCAGTCTTTGAGAGGGAGACGTGAAAAATGATTTCCAAAAAAATTTAGCATCTTTCGTTGGAAGGGTCGGCCTAAAACTACACCAAAATCTAACCCACAACCACTACCCTTACAGTTTCAGAAAATTATTTATTTAAACCTGGTATAGATTTTGGTATTACCACCTTTTTCGTCAGTCTTGAATGATTTTAAGCGCTATTATGTGTGTAAATACTATTTTTGAGCAGGGCATGTGCCTGTGTGTGTGTGTGTGTGTGTGTGTGTGCTTGCGTAACTGCAAGCCTTTTGGACAGCAAAAGAGAGAGATAGAGAGAGAGATAGAGAGAGAAAATGCTTTCCTTATGTTATACAAATTATGCACAAGAAAAATCAGTTGTATAATCTTAAATTTCATGTCATATGTTTCTTCTTTTGTAAACGCTAATCCTGGACAGATTTTTGGATTGATCTATCTCCCTGGGGAGTCTCACTAAATTGATATCACCTTTACTGGCTTAAATGTCTGTCACACCTAGTAAACCTGCAAGAGGCTAATTATCTCCCTCCTCCCCCCCCCCCCCCCAGCTGATTCATATTTGATAAACTATACTGCATGTTTTACTGTTACTGCATGTTTTACTGTTGTAGTTTGCAACTTGTGAGAGAGAGAGAGAGAGAGAGAGAGAGATTCTTCATAGAAGACTTCTATCAAATGACACAAAGGACTACTACTTCATATATTCATATTAAACATTTTATTAAAAGTTCCCTATATTTTAAATGAACTAAAATATACATAATTGAAAGTAATGAATAAATGGAATCATTTTGTCTCTCAGTGACTAAATTTTCTCTTGATGGGTATTGCTCTATGAATATTGCACTACAAATTTTCAACACTGGTATTCTATTTCATATAAGCATATGAATACTACATGCCTTACTATGTTACCATTGTATGCATATTAAAAGTAACATTTATCAAAATAATGATTTCCTAAAGTAACTCACACTATTTTTACATGCAATTAAAGGTATGTTGTATATCATTTTCCTTGTAAAAAATATTAAATTTTAGCAATGTCTGCAAAATTCTGTATATACGTAACTGAGGCATTAGCATAACCTTTTAATGCATTTGAATATATGTAAATTGTTTCTTTGTAGTGTGTATCACCACCTACTAACTAGACACTTTCATTTTTACAATCCTGGCATAAACATACTGTACATGTATGGGTTCTCCCCTGGAGGATACACTACCTCAGGGGCTGGGAATACATTACTTGAATGAGGACCCCTAAATGTGTTATCACCCTGCTGACTTAAATAAGCACCATCAGAATGCTGGTTTCTGTATGAATTTTCAGACAACTGACCCATGAACGAACTCTCAGAGTGCTGGCTTCGATATGTATTTTCAGAATGATGGCTTCTGAATGAGTTTTCAGAGTGGTGACTTTTGTATGGGATGTCAGGGTGCTGATTTCTGAACGTGTCATCAATAAGTTGACTTTTGTTAACCTTAGACTGGCTTTTATTCTTGTTAACAGATTGTTGAGTTTTGACTGGTTTTTCTCCAGTGTGAGTTTTTTCATGTTCTGTGCACCTCGATTTCCTGATGAATGTTTTGTCGCAGTACTTGCATCCATATGGTCTCTCCCCAGTGTGAGTTCTTTCATGTATAACACAAGTTCCACGGTCGCGAAATCCTTTCCCACAATACGAGCACACATGCGGCTTAATCCCTGTGTGAGTCCGCACATGATCTCTCCAATTTGCCTTTCTTACAAATCTCTTGTCACAAAAATCGCATTTAAAAGGCTTTTCACCAGTGTGAAATCTTTCATGTTCTTCACGGTACAATCTGGTTGGAAATCGCTGATCACAGTACTGACATTTGAACGGTCTTTCCCCTGTGTGTTGGGTTCTTTCATGCAATCTCAAAGTGGAGCTTTGAGTAAATTTTTTGGTGCAGTACTGACACAAATATGGTTTCTCTCCTGTGTGTATTCTTTCATGCTCTTTTAATCTTGATGGAATGGCAAAGGACATATCACATCCCCAGCATTTGTATGGTTTTCCTCCAAAATGCGTCTTTTCATGTCTCACTAGAGCCTGTTTGCCCTCGCAACCTTCACCACAATGCTTACATATAAATGCCTTTTTCTCAATGTGAGTTTTTTCATGCTTTTCACAGTTCCTCTTCTCATAAAATGTTTTATCACAATGCTGGCACTGGAATTTCTTTTCTTCAGAGTCAGAGCTGTCATCTTCCTCTGTAATACTTTTTTTAGGTGTCGCAGATGTTGAATTTCCAGGCATGTGTTTCTTTTCATGTTTAACACAGGAATTCTTCCTCAAAAATGTTTTCTCACATATTTTACATTTGAAGGGTCTTTCTCCTGTGTGAGTTCTTTCATGTGCCGTCCACTCATCTTTCCTGTCAAATGTCCTCGTACAATACTGACAATGAAATGGCCTAGGTAAAGTGTGGGTCATTTCATGCTCAGCACAGTTCACTTTCTTAGAAAAGCTTTTCTCACAATGAGAACACCTGAATGGTTTATTTGCATGCTTCTTTTCATGTTTAACAAACGTGCTCTTCCTGTTAAATGTTTTGTCACAGTTCTGGCATTTAAATGGTCTCTCACCAGTGTGATTCATTTCATGAACGGTCAATTCATCTTTTCTGCGATAAATTTTATCACAGTATTGACATTTATATGGCTGTAATTCTGTGTTAGAGGATTCATTATCATTTTTCTTTAATGATGCTCTGCCTTTGTGCTTTTTCTTTTCATGTAACACACATGATCTTTTTCTGTGAAAAGTTTTATCGCAGAACTGACATTGGTAAGGTTTTTCACCAGTGTGCACCCTTTCATGCATTACACATTCCTCATTTTTGGTAAATGTTTTGTCACAGTGTTGGCACTGGTATGGTCTTACCGAAGAGTGAATAGTCTCATGTTCTTTTAATTTCCCTTCAGATGAAAAAATCCTGACACAAAGTTTACACCTGAATGGCTTGTCTTGGTGCTTCTTTTCATGATGTACACAGGAGTTTTTTCTATAAAACCTTGTGTCACAGTACCGACACTTAAATGGTTTCTCCCCAGTATGTGTCCTTTCATGGGCCACCAACTCATCTTTTCCACTAATAACTTTACTGCAGTGTTGACATTTGAAGGTTTTTCTTTTACTGCGAGGAACTCTTACTTTTTGATTGACCTCCTTGTCACTACTATTACCATCAACCTCATATCCTATATCAATGTTTTCATGCTTGACCAATATCTCACCATCTTTTTTGTTATGACTGATATCACGATTTCTATTGTCTGTATCACTTGTTTCATGGTCTTCAGTATCTAATTCATAAAGGTTGCTAATATTTTGTAATTTTGGCTGGGACTCTTTGCGAGCAGCATTAGTCCGAGAGCGCGTTCTTGCCCGTTGTACCACATTGCTACTCCTTAGTTTTCTTTTATAAGTTCGATTATTAATGCTTGCTTCCTGAACATCTTCCTCTGAATCATTAATATCTTGCCCATCTGACTCTTCGTGGTCATCCTCATCTATGGACTCACTGGCCCCTTTTGGCTTTGTCTGTGCATCAACATGAAGTGCAATGATGTTACACTTTAAGTTTAGAAAAACTTTTTTTGCACTCAAAAATCTCTTCATCATACTGACACACCTACCACAGCAAACATCTGACCTTGCTGGAGGTGCCAACAATTTCAGAAGTTCTTGGATTTCACTTTGAATTTCTGGGCAAGTGATAAGCTTTGTGAATTTAGCCCTAGATCTTTGCGGCAATGAGCCACAAATTATACACTTGGCAATCATTTTCTTCAGGTTGGGTTTATCCCCCATATTCCCTTCACATACTGCAGGATAGGCTGGTCCATTGTCACTGCCTTCATCAGGCTCACTGCTTTCAGTCTTTTGTACATTATCTTTAACATTTGCTCTACAGTCAGACAATTCTGTTTGGGGTTGGTTCTTAGGTTCGTGTGAAGATGGTACCTCATCATCAGTTCCCATCTGTTCTTCATTCATACATTCTTCATTGTACTGAACAGAAATTGGAACTGCCATACCGTCATCTTTATCCATGTCTTGATTCATGGCTGGTTTGGACAAACTGACTGCATTGGTTTTACCAGGGGAATCAATTTCTGGCAAAGAAGCTGGGGAAATTACTCCATTAGTATCATTGTCTTCCACATTTATTTTTTCACTGTCCAAAGACATTGCTAGAGCAATATCAGCTTCATTGTCACTTTCCATTTTTTTCTCATCAGTACAGTTTGCAGTACTGTCACTAACCAGTGAGATTGGTGGTACTGTTATATCTCCATCTTCAGCGCATACATCACTGACACGTTCTTCAGACACACGGATCTTTGTTTGAAACCCCCCTTCACTTTCTGTGAGTCTTTCAGGTTCACTAGCATTTATAATACTAGGAGAATCAACATTCTCAAAGCCAGGCGTAGAAATTGCAGTTTGTATTTTCTCAGCAGTTTTATCATTACTTTCTGGAAACTTATCACGAGATGCGTGCATCAGAGGGTCTGTTCCCCCGTCAATTTCAGTCTTACCCGCATTCATATTGGTATTTTTCAGAGACAGGGATGCCGCTATTGATATGGCTCGCTGCTCACGTTGGCTGGAATGGGAGCGGCTACATCTCTTCCCTCTACGATGCTACTACAGTGTGCTTTTTGGAATTGCAAAGCACTGAAGCTTAAGCTAGCCTTGGCTTTGATTTTGCCTGTAGATCCAGCAGCAAAAAACTCGCATCAAGGCGAACAAAGAGATCAGAATCGACGATATTTACCATAATATGATAATTATGATAATGCTGCGAAAGTGGGAAATAACTACGTGCCGATGTTGAAGGGAATATTTTGCGATGGAGCGTACTGATATTAGCTTTTCATGACCATGTTTTTATTTGAGGCCCAGCAAGTTTTATAGAATGGATCCATATGGAAAATTAGTACCTTGTCAGTCAGTAAATAATCGTCAATGACTTATGTGTTGAAGATATGTAATGGAAGATTGTCTTGGAAATGAGTGATTTGCATTGGTACAGTCTCGTACGTGTATTCTTTTTTAAATGAAATATCCATATCGTGGCTTTGTGGCTACAACGTCTTAAAACATTCAAAGCAAAAAGTGCTGTTACTCAACATTGCAAATTTGTTTCAGTCTCAGTCCCTCTTTTATATATCTTAAATCACAAATTAATATTACATCAATAAAGCGGCCCTAGCCTGTTTTCCCCCAATGCAAGGTGCCAGATAGTGGAAAAACAAATAAGCACATATTTAGTCTCAAAATTAAAAAAAAATGATCGTGTGTATTTTTATAGATAACAATTTAAAAGCGTTCCACTGAAACACATAGGTATATCAAACTTATATTCTGAAAATTCTTAAGAAAAAAAAAAAAGAAAGAAAGAATAATAAAGCGACACTCGAGCACGTGTAATGACCACTCAATCAACCGATTGAATTTTTCCTATGAAAGACCTAAGATATTTTTCTGAGCTATGTTGTTACTTTTATCGCAACCTTTTTTATCTTATTTTTATTTTATTCTATTTCTATCTCTTTAATTTTTTTTTAAATCAGAAACTAAGAAACGCTGGAGCCAAGAAATCTCACTTATGTCTTTAAAGAAATGTAGAAGCTTTGTAACAGGTAAGCCAAGATACAGTAACGTCCGAGATACCCATATTCAATGCGGTTGATAATCTGACAATATATATCGTATATAGCTAGCCTACTTCTTCGTCTCGGACGTCCTCTAAAAAATGAAATGACCGCATCATCACAAAACGAATGTTGCATGTATAGATATAGATGATACATTGCGGCCAGGTCCATCAATTGCAAAGTAGTGTGGATGCAGCATCGAGTAGTGACAGGTTCCAGTCCATACACGCTCATGAGTTTCAGCGTATTTGCGGCGACTCCCCCCTCCCCTTTTATTAGTAGTGCGAACAGTTCGCCAGGGGCGTACGAGTACTAGAACTACTACGCTTAAACTCAGTGTGTGTCAGAACGTAAATTCTCCCAAAATAAACATGAAATACAATGTTCGCTAATATAATTTCTTCTCAACGTATAGGCAGAAAATCAAGCAAACAAACAAACAAAACATAATACAGTTATAATAGCATAATATAATATATAATAATATAACAACAACAAATATCAAAGGTTGAAGTCGACCCTCACTTACCTGAATAATGATTCTGGTTTATTGATATGTACACGTTTATCAGCTGATTGCCGTGGCCGCTATTCTTACTGCTTGGTAGAGCCGATCAGATTTTCTTAAGAGGGGGACGGGGGGGGGGGGGGGGGGGGGGGAAAATGGGGGGGCGGTCAGGAACAGGGCAAACAAACATAAATTAAAGGGATAACATCTGTGCACTTTGGCTGGATTTTTCTGGGGTAAACGACAATATTGCGATACTTATGAATTAATGAATTCTTTCCGACATCCAAAGTTAGCCCATGTATTTTTAAGTTTGGTATTTGTAATAATCTCTTAGATATTATAACGGAGGGTTGTCATCTATGAAGACCCACGTGGTCCGATGGCAAGCAAAGATTCCAGAATAATGACCGCCAATTTTGTGGTAAAATGGAATTTATTATATTTTTATGAGTTGTTTACAGTGTATTTATTGTAAAATATGAATCTCACACGAAGAGTTGTTATCCCTTTAATTTCTAAACTCTGCTTCACTTGGCATGCTGGTGATGTTAGCATGCAATTTATTTAAAAAAACAAGATGATTGGGGGAAGGGGAGAGGCACATGCAACAATAATCAACAGGTCACACACATGAGCGCAAAATACAATAGATACATTAGTTCAAACAATATCAATGGATCTCATATAGTAATGCTGAAAGAAAGTTTTACATTTTATCGATTCATAGAATACAAGACGTGATCAAGTCAGCCTAGAAATCGCAAGGAACATTCATCAAGAAAAGTTTTTCATACGTGGGTTTTTTGGTTTTTTTTTTACCAATGTTTGTCAAGATAACGTTTTAAGCCATTGAGAGACAATGTGTTTACGCCCCATGGATCTGTACAAAATGAAACTTTCTTTCAATAAATACAGTATGACTGCGTTCCCATAAACCCATCGCACAAGCTGGTTCGTTCTTACTCTGCGGGGATTCTCACTAAATTGCATTCAGTGTAAGCGGCGTAAGTGTCTGGCACGCCTATTCAAGTTGCTAGGGGGTAATTAACGATAGTCAAATTACTCCTTAGTTACTCAAGAGGGCGTGCCAGAAAATTAAGCTGATTACAATGAAAGCTCTTTAATAGCGAGAATCCCCGCAAAATTAAATCGATCCAGCTAGTACGATGGGTTTACGGGAACGGTCCTTATAAGAACTGCACTTACCCACGCAGTCACGCTGGTTCACATGGAGCTGATACCCCTGTGTGCAGTGGCACTGATATGAACCCTCAGTGTTGGTGCAGTTCTGTGCACATCCCCCGTTGTTTCTTTTGCATTCGTTATAGTCTAAAAGTATATAAAATTAAGGAGGAAAAACGCTGCAGTCAGTTTAAAAGGCTGTTCATGGCACGGTTTATTTGGTGTTTTTAATCTTTCTTATTAAAAAGTAACGTTTTGACATGTTTGTAAGATTTAAAATCTGTGCTGCAAAAATTGTACTATTCTTACGCAAAAGATGGACGGTAAGTTTAAGGTTTCACAACAACTAAGATACAGAAACTGTTGGGATTGGCTGAGACTTTCTGTATAGAATGTATGTTGTTTAAAACATCTGAGTTTCATAACTTGCCAAAAGAAAATAAGGGAGGATTCGAAATTTCGCCCATGAAACAATGCTGGTGAGAGATGACAGTGGGCTTCATTGAGACCGAACGAAATATCCGTTTAATTTATGAGAGAGGTAAGTGCGCATACCTCTACAATTTTGGCCGTCATTGCTAAGGATGTACCCGGTGTTACAGCTGCAGTAGTAGCTACCAGGCACGTTGTTGCACACCCCACCACATCCGCCGTTACTCAGGGAACATTCGTCGATATCTGTGACAGAATGACATAAAATAAAATAAAATAAAATAAAATAAAGTGAACTGTATTAAAATAAGGTAAAATAGAATTTAAAGGGACAAGCAGAAAAATTGAATTGATAAATATAGAATAAAATATATAAAGAACTAGAGAAGCACTCCAAGAGCGCAGACCTCCGCCAAGGCAGCGATTTATTATTATTATTATTATTGATTATTGATTGATTATTGATCCGAATCACCACCATAAACTAATCATCTGTTCCTTGGCCCACTTCTGACAGTTCCTGAAAATTTCATCAAAATCGGTCCATAACTTTTTGAGTTATGTTGATGACAGATCTAGACAGACAGACAGACAAACAAACAAACAGTAGGTACCTTGGCGGAGGTAATAATGACCGAATGGATAAATGAATAGATCTATAGATATATAAATTAATTGATTAATGCGAAAGAAAAGCAGAATACGGACAATTAACCGGGCAAACAAAGATTGCCAACAACACACCGTCACACGTATGCCCATTCCCCGTAAATCCGTTAAAGCATTGGCAGGAATAGGAGCCCTGGGTGTTGCTGCAGTAGGATTTGTCCGCGCACGTGTTCAGTGAGATTGTATCACATTCATCAATGTCTACGATAAAAAAAGAAGATAAGAATGGTTAATGGTCAATGGTTAGTCGATAGTCATTACTTTTATATTTTCCAGGTTTAACCCCCCCCCCCATTTGCACACACGTACACATAAAAAAGAAGTTGTAATTTCCAAAATAATTAGTAAGATTTAATGGATAGACTACGGATTTGGGCGTATGTTATATAGAATACCAAATCATGGAGAAATTAATTTTCTTTAACAAGGATACGTCTGCATTAACTTTTTAACAGACCGCACAATATCTGTTGAATTAAGAGATATGCTTTACAATGTCAGAAGAAAACAATCCTAATTCTGGTCAGTTAATATTTTTACATATTTATTATTATTATTATTATTATTAAACGAAATTTTCATTATTAAACGACGTTTTCATCTCCACTGAATTATTAAGCGAAGTTTTCATCTCCAATGCAATTGATCGTTATTAAACGAAGTTTTCATCTCCATTGACCTCTCATCCTACCAATGCAATTTCTGTCCTGACTCCCCGTGAACCCAGCAGGGCATATACACTGGAAGCTGCCCGGGGTATTAACACACTGTTTCGTACTCGGGCACCTGTTAGGATTTGTACACTCGTCAAAATCTGTAAAAGATTGTACAGATTAATATTTTGCTTTCTTAAAAGAAAACAAATCGGCTGACAAATTCAGTCCGACTGAGCCATTTTAAAAAGGTTTCATTGCTATGCTTAGCTAAATTATCAGAGAAATAAACAACAACTGCAATATATATCTATAACTGAAATATCAACACACACACATACACACACACACACACACACACACACACACACACACGTGACCTCGAATTTATAATAAGCGGCACGTTCTTCAGATGACATGAAAATCAAATAATAAGCATCGACTTTCCGGATCTTTATAGAACCACATTATATGACTAGTACTGGTACATTTAAAGCTACAGTGGATGATATGCATATTGACGTATATAATAAAGCATTGCATCATGGAAAATCTCAGTTGACATATAAAGTCGTCTTATCCGTGCTATACAAATATCATTATCAGGGCTTGTTCAAATTCTGTTCTTGGGGATCTTTCGTAGGCTAATCGTTTTTAAATAAATTTAATTCAACCTTTGAAACAAACTATAGATAATGGTCATAGACGTCTTACGTCCTCCGCGTCAAAAAAATTGAACGTTTGCCGAAAGTGAAATTCATGTAATGCATGTACATGTAACGGAAAATTTACCGTATAATGTCTGATGTTTAAAACTTCTAGTAATAGGGTATGCTTGAGTTTGAAACTCGACAGAGAGTTACATTGTAATCGGCAATAAATAATGACAAATGGTCCGTGCCGCCGGGAATTTTATCATCAACATTTGTCGGTTTTTGCTCCAAAACGTCCTTTTCAATTGATCATCCTACCACATAAATAAGTTTTAACTAGTTTTGCTTAAGCAATATAACAGACACCCCGACAAAATAGGTATTTTTATTAAGTTTTTAAATTCATAGATACGCCACCGGTCGATCGTGGTAAACAGACAGTCGCCGATAAGCAATATTCCACCTGAGTCAGAGTGAACGGAGTGACTGCGTTCGTTGGTGTCTTGATGCCATCTGACTCCGTTAAACAACATAGTGCTATGAAGGAATTAGGTTACAGGAAGATCACGCGCAGCACATAAAGAGTCCTTAGTACATAATGATTACAAAGGCCCCATTCAGAGCAGTTATCGTTAACGTTTTGATTCCAGGAAGTAGACGCTCAATTCCAATGCCCACAATGCAATCTGTTTATAACCCAGCCCAACGCTCAGAATCACTGAAAGGGATTGGAGGTGGAAGCGAGATTAAAAAATTACTAATGACCGAATTATAACTGTTTTGTTGAAACCGTTATGAACGCGACCACAATCACACCATCAGTTTGAATGGAGCCTGGGTCTGTTATATCTAAGTGCCGATAAGTCACGGATGTGGTCACAAAATTGGTAACACTTTGAGAGAAAGACATCACTGAAGATGGCGAGGACGTGGACGGCATATATGACGCTTTTTGTCATCTATTTTTTAACCACAAGCTCCAAGGTAGTCACCTGTCTTGGTAATTCAACGGGCGAGGAAACCTGTCAATGCACGGTTAAGACGCTGAGGATGCTGCTTTCTGAGGAAACCGCTGTGAGGACCAAACTACAGACGGAATACCAAGAAAAAGTCGGCTCTCTTGAGAAACAAATCGCAGAGTTGAAAGATTTGGTGGGTGGATTCTTTACGTACAGGCTTAATTCAAAACAACAAAGAAGTCTGAAATGTGTGCGTTATCTACCCCTGTTGTAAAGTTAATTACTTAACCTTACACTCATTACAATTAGTAATGAAAGGGAAATCAAATAGATGAAAAGTTAGAGTGATATTGAGTGCAAATTAAGCTTCATCGAGTGTCAACAAGTGTAGAAGAGTGTCAGAAGAAGATGGAAAAGGTCAAAGTCAATAACATTTAATGTGATTGGTTAATTTCATAACAGATTTTAATTTTGATCAACTGTTTATCACATGATAACTAAGTTTTGGACATGATTCAAGTATGAGTAAAGCAAATAGTATTTTGGATGAGTTTAGTTGAAAACAAGGTTCTTAGACATTACCTAATAAGGGAATGTTCTATGGTAAAATAAACATGACAATGGAAAGTTTCTGGAAATCACGCAATAAACAATAAAAAGAACATAATTACACGCGTGATCAGTACGGAGAATTAGAGTATAAATATGGGTAAAATTGTATGAAAATTAAGTGGTGAATAAATGATTGAAGACTCCAGAACCTCGTCGTCGTTATAATACCCCCTTTCAGGCTAGTCACCGCAAATCAAGATACTCTTTCCCTGGGCTCTCTTTCCAGAGTATGCCTTTAATTTGTTACTATTTGCATATTACCTATGGCGTCATAGGTTGCTGTATAGGTAAAACAGATAATTTTATCATAAGCTAGAATCAATAACACCCAAGATAAACACTATGAGAACAACCCAAAATCAAAATAAAGATACGACGGAAAAAAAACAGTATCCAGATTGTACAATTTTTTTTTAATTCGTGGTTAGGGACTATGAAGGTAGAATAAATATAGAGGCTATTCGGTGTTTATTTTAAATCGAAAATGATAATTAAAATAATTGATTTCCAATAATTGATTTGATTTCTAATATTCCAGAGTAAGTTATCTATTGGGCAGTATCGGTCTTGCAATGAGATCCTACAGGAGATTCCAAATGCAGTCAGCGGCACCTATACCATCAGCACCAACATAGGGCCCGTCCAGGTTTACTGTGAGATGGGCCTTAACGGCGGAGGCTACACCTTCCTCCCGAGCTCTGTCATCGTGGACGGTGCAGGACTCGACCTAACGCCGCTGACCACCGACACTTCACAAGTGTTGGTTCGAATTCTGGAACAGACAGGCTCTCAGCCGTATACCATTCTTCAGCAACTCGCCGCGTATTCTTCGATCCCTATACACGTATCTATCAACAGTAACGATGGCTACCAGGGCCCTAACAACAAGGCACTTGGACCGTACATGTTTTTGGGCTTCCTGCCGACCAACGTCGCCGCTGATCCCTCGAAAGCAGCACAAGGTTTTCGTAGCAATGGAAGAGATGTCACTTTTACCAACTGCGACCGCAACCCGAATAGTTATTTCGCCACGTTTCCCAACCACGATGAGAAAAATCCGGTTCCACACAACCCTCACTTCTACCAGCTGCATAGAAACTGGCGACAGTCCGCGCGTCAGCCTCCATCTGGTAGAACAATGCCGACCAATTATTTTTTCTTCACCGAAATCCATTTTGGAGGCTGTGGGGTCTACACCAGCAGTGACAAGTGGACCGACGCAAGAGGCATCGCCATTGGTACCAAGTAATTACTAACACGCGCACACGCACGCACACACACACACACACACACCTGAACGCAATTCCGTTTGAGCGCGCCCACGTCTGCAAAGCTGTGACACAAGTAAAATATCTATTACTCTCGTCCATTCGTTGTGATTTTGCCAATACAACAGCAACCATGCGTGTTGCTACCATAGATTTAAAGGTATTTTTTAACAGTTTGCTGAAAGAAGCATGCGTTTCCACGACTTAGGGACTAAGAGCCTTTTTACAGAAAATTTAGCAATGTTCACGCACCTGCACATTTCCCGCCATCCCAGTGGAAATTCTGAGGACATTTACAGACGTATGAACCTAGAGTATTCATACACTCCGCGCTTTCTCCGCAAATAGTGCTATTTAAACACTCGTCCTTGTCTGAAATGTATATTAAATCATAAAACTAACTAAATAGCTCTGCAGTTATTTTCAGTTCAACTTAAAGTTTGCAGTGAAATCTTTTTACCAAAATATCAGTTTGCGGTGGATCTTTTTACCAAAAATCAGTGATGGATAAAAGCTGTGTAAGCAATTTGTTTTGATGATCGATCTATTTCTTTATGGATAAGAAAAAAATGCTTTCTGAACAGAAAATTCAAAAATATTTAGATAAAAGATTTATAAAATCGATCACAATTATATTTTCCTGTATAACCTAACGGGTGGATTTATTAGATACTGCTTTTGCTTTAATAAAGAGCGCTTAAAAGCTATTGTGTTTTATGTCTATTCTTTACCTGATAACGATAAATTATTTTGAAATTGTATGCAGCGTTGTACAGTGTGTTACAGTCTAGATGACGTTAACATATAGACAAATCAATAAGCTACAAAACTCATTGGACAAATCATGTTTTAAGTTATTTAGACTGGGTTGGGGCCTGGCAGTAACTCTTTATTAGCCTTCTTTAGCATAGCCAGTTTCCACCTCTTAGCCGTTTTGAGCAGAGACTATATCCAGTTGCAAATATTACGTTTAAATGGGTCGTTTCCGGAATATTGATGCGTAGATATTAAATCAGCAATTTTTAAAGTTTCTTAACAATTTTTCTACTTAATTCCTCCGCCTTTATTATGATGTTGTGCTGCAAGCAAAAATCCAATAAATATCTGTTTTTTCTTTTTTTTTACTTTGCTCAAACCTGTGTGACAGGAATGGCAAATCGCCAGGAACTAGTCCGCTTCCTATTATTTTGTACATTCGTCCCAAATACTGACCCCAATACTCCGACTGACCCTAACCTTTACTAATCGGACTTCCATTCCTAGAACTCACACCAGTTCCAAGCCATGCGTTTTCAATATTCGCGCTAAATCCAATTTTTTGCACAGGAGTTTAAATATATTATTTCGTGGGAAGCATTGACGTACCGGGGTACATGTCATCACTTGAGCCTTTAACGAAATAAGTTATAGCCCCTTAAGTGGAATCGGAAGATGGTGCATACATACCATAACAAACCCCGTCATGTTCCATCAAGTAACCTTGGCGGCACGTGCAACTGAACGAGCCAACGCTGTTGACGCAGCGTGCCTGCTCCCCGCAGATTTCCAGGGCACATTCATCTAAATCTGAATAATAATTTGTTTTCTATAGGCGAATTGCTTAAATAAAAATGTATCATTTTTAAAATCTTTTTTAAGGAAACTCTTTGTTGTTTTCCCTTTAATACCCTATTGGTGCCAAGCCCCACATTTGTTATCAAAAGCGTGTGTGTGTTTGTGTGCGTGTTTGTTTGTTTGTTTGTTTGTGTTTGTGTGTGGGTGTATGAGAGAGAGAGAGAGAGAGAGAGAGAAAGAGAGAGAAAGAGAGGTGGGTGGAGGAAGGGTAGAAGTCCAAGAGTGACGAGGTCACCTGCACACGTCTTCCCGTTTTCCTCTAAAATATAGCCACTCATGCACTGACACGTGGGGATGCCGCCGATAACTTCACACACTTGAGAACAACCGTGGTTACCACAGCCAGAGTCACCGGCCTCTGAAAACCACCATTTTAACATGCAGCTTTTTTATTTCAACTGCATCACTTGAAATAATTTTAGTTGTTTTAACTTTTTTATATCCAATGGATATAAAAATTATATACCCTATGTAACAAGAATAATTAAAGAATATGAACATTTGTTACTTTTCTTACGTTCTTACCCCGTTAGAAATATTGATTCGATTTTTAAAATTTTCTAATTGGAGGTACAGGATGTCTTAATATAGATGGAACCCATTAATATTATATTTCAATATAATATTAAAATACACATATATAACGAAGACATCCTGTATATTCATCTCAGGGTCAGTTCTAACATACCTTTAAGGTCAATGTCACCACTGCCCTGCGGTTCATCACTCAACTCATTATATGGAATCTGAAAAAATATCTCATATGATTTCTTAAGATTCTCGCAAATGATTGCATATATATACATGGATGGTCATATAATGAGCAAAGGAGAAAAGTCACTATAAAAAATAAGCCGCTTAAGTCGCAGGGATTATAAGAGCGCATCCCGAACAGCGGGCAAACAGATAAGCAGGGCCCCGTATCTCGAAAGGTTCGCTATGTTGCGCACGTGCGCAAGCGTCTCGATTCCATAACTCGCCCATACTCGTCCCATTGTAGCCTCTATTTGATATAGCGATTCGCAATACGCGATGCTTTCGAGATAAGGGACCCTGAACAAATATGGCTGTCCCACTTGAATGCTTGTTGTGTAATCACTGCAGATAACCAATTCAATGTCTAATCGGTGTAACAGTAATCCAAGTCCCCCAGGAACCGAGGTCCGTAGGACCTCGGTTCCTGGTAATAATTGTCCGTAGGACTACCATTACTTGGGAATAGTAGTCCTACTAGGACTTAGGTTCCTGGTTCATAATTATAGTAGGAAGGACTTGTATTACTGGCGGACTTTTATTCCTGTAACACCTATGACAGTAATGGAAGTCCGGCCATTTGAAAGTCCTATCCTTATGCAATAATACGGTTAAATGATACAATTTTAAATGTAGGCTTATATGAAAATCCTTCTGGTGAGCGACACATGCAAAAATATGTGTTTACTCCAAGAAAAATACAAAAATAAAATTAATGAAGAAAAACTATTTTTTGTTACTTTATTATTATGTATATAACTGCCTATCGGAACATAAGAACATCGTAAAATATTAAAATAAAATGAAATAAAGCAAACCTTTATTATATCTTTAAATCTAGTATATCTCTATACTTATTTATTCATGTCATTTCTCGGTGTAAACTATATAGGACATGCGTTAATAAAATGTTAGGAACGCACGTCCCATTAGAACGTGCATTACTACACGTAGGACTTGCATTACTTGGGAGCCTTCGTCCTACGGACATTGAATCCTACTAACGTATGTCCTAGGACTTCCATTCCTAGCAATGCATGCCCTAGGACTTGCATTCCTAGGACTAAGTGTCCGGGCGGACTTGCGTTACAAAGACGTGCACTCCTGCCACACCGGGAATTAAGCCGCAAGCTTTTAGTGGGTGGCCATATTTCATCCGTGTATCTGTTACTTCGCTGTTCTGAATGTGCTCTTGGAATGGTTTATCACACAGAGCAGTTTTTCACAGCATACTGGGATAGAGTTGTGGACCTAAATAGATAAAAGGGTTTTCATTGTCTGCAAACGTAAGCTTGTGTGGGGTGTCCTTTTAGGAATAGATCGATTTTTATTTACAGTCTAAATGATAAAAAAAACTGTTTACCAGGTCCCTCTGAAAAGGAGGACTTTTTTCCGTGAAAAAGTGGACCTTATAACATCTTCGTGTACCTAGGTCAAAATTTACCCAGAACAAACCTTTTCCCAGCAAAAAAGACGGTTCATTCGAACGCCTGTCCCCCCTCCCAGGGCTACGGGCCTGTTTCTCAGTAAATTGGTCTTTAAGGTGGAGGATGGGGATAAAGCTAGTATGTCCACCCCACTATGTTTGCTGCTCACCAGATAACTATACTTCCCAGTGTGTTTAGTAGGGTACATATTCGAAGCAATCGTTTTTTAAATCATAGAGGATACGTCTTCCAACGCGAAAGCGTGCTCAAATATACTAAATGTATAGAATTTTAGCACAGCGGACATAACACAAACACACATGGTAGAAGCGGTTCCAGCTGCGCATACAATAGTCTATAATATTGCATTATAACGGAATGATACAGACGATTCCAGTGTTTATGTGGAAGTAGCAGAAACACATTCATTGCGAAAATTACTTTCGAAATGACAAATTCAATCATTGTAATTCTTGATATGCTGTCTCTCTGAAGATATATAGGCATGTATATATTTGAGTACAGTAAATGAACCTGCTCTGTGCACTTGAAAGAAAACACTTAGAAATAACCAGATGCGATAAGTAAGAACCAAATTCATGAGAAAGCAAATAAATTGATCATGTTCAGTGCCCTGCTTAATGGGGTTGGGGGGGGGGGGGGGTTAAGCTAATACCCGATACCACCTGTTTAATTGATACTTAGGTAAATAAAAATGGCCAACGTGGGACAAGCATGTTTACTCAATGTAGCATGCAGATTGCCGAGAATTGACCAAATCAGCATTCACAAACTTTTAAAACTTCTAGAACCCACACATCGAGTTCTTGCGTGCTAGCTGTAGGCTATGTCTCTCATTTTGGAGTCTAGACCGTTTATACTCACTTCTCCGTATCCTCGCGTCTCACGTGCACGGCACGTGCAATCTTGTAGGCAATATAGCCAACAAACAAGCAGTATTTTGTAGAAACACGGCAGCATTTTCCCCATAGCCCTCTCTCTCCCTACTCCTGCATGCAAAGAACTTTGGCCACGGAGAGTCTGAACCCGAAGGCAAGCAGGTTAACTCTGCGGTTAATACCCTTCTCTATAATAAATAATAAACACTCTGACGTGCGGCACTTCAAGGAAGGATCTCCTTACAGAGCAGACAGAGCTCCCACCCACCCAGGCCACAGTTGTAAAGTGCCGAAAAGATAAACCGGGTTTTATATTAAGGGGGTCGCGTGCTTCAATCCATGCGGAACGGATGGCATTAACATCTTGTGTTTGAATGAGTTCAGTATATTCCAGACTTTAGCTTCTATACTTCTGTGTTCTTCTCCCAACGTAAGTTCAATTTTTTAAGGCAAATATTGTATAAACTTTTTTTGTTACCTTAAATTTCCTCCGCTAACGGCGAAAGGAGGGTTAAGGGGGGGGGGGGGCGTGGATGCGAGTAACAACAACAGTCCAATGTACTAATATCATACAATTCCAGAATTAAAAGACAGGACACAAAAAAGAGATCAGTCGGAGCGATTGTCAAATGTAATGGAATTAAAATAATAGAAATAGCTTTTACGGGCTCTGTTGAGATGGAATGCACAGTGCAGGTCTATTAGTGACACGGATATATTAGAATAAGTAAAATTATAATAAAAGGTACTCCCAGTAACTTATGACTGAAAAGAACCTAATACTGTTGGATGTACTAAATTTAGTGAAATATTAAAAATAAGCGTCATTAGTCCATCAAATTTTAATGACATCGACACTCAGGGTTGTGTCTGGAAGTAAAACCAGAGAGAGAGAGACAGAGACAGAGAGACAGAGAGAGAGAGAGAGAGACCGGTTGCACACGCCATTTTGACAGGGATATCCTTATAAAGTAATCATGATGGTTTAATTAAATCAGACAGGTTTAGCTCAATACAACTGCTAGACAAAATCTTAGACGAATGCTTCTGGGACTGGCCTCTGTGTCAAAAGGGGGGGGGGGCACCTTTAATGTTCATGGTCTTGAACCCTATTCTGCCTTTTCACTTACAGTTCTTTTCAGACTATTACTGCAGTTTTATAATGTTATTCACACCAAATTGGGTAATCCAAGCGCGCATGCGTTGTACGGGGCTCTCAAATTCGGGTACGACAGATGGACGAATCGACTCGGTTATGCACCTCGGGTACATTACACGCGCTGCGGCGCCTTTAAGAACACAAAACTGAACTGATTCACCTTAAGATAAAAACAAAGTTAAATCTAATGAAAAGCCCTCCAGCAGAACAATTAGTCATGTCTCATTAATTCTTAAAACCAGTAGAAAAAAAAACATCGGGTTGCAGCTGTTGCACAGGAAAACTGTGCGGTGAGCTCGGAATTTTACAGGCACCTGTGATACTGGATATTTTCACCAACTGCTCTGCAAAAACAAAAAGTCATAATTCTTAATGAAAAATAATTGCAATCGCCTCACGTATGTCCTGTCCGTTCGTGTCATCTCATGTTGTTTAATTTTTTTCAATATAAAACTAAATATGTATTGGTCCTCACAACATAATACATTTATATAATTCCTAATGTTTGGTTTTATGTGTGCTTACTTATTGTGTTGAGCCCATTCTTAAACCGGGCGCGCTTCACTCTAGACCAAACTATGTACACGCATTTAGAAGGAAATAAAATTTATTCAGGCTTCCATTACAGCACTGCATAAAACCGAGTGTCGTCAGACAAGCAATACCCCTTACAATGTAATTGAACGGATTCGTTCGATCTTTAAGTGGGACATATCTACTCCAGTTGGATTTTTATCGCACAATGTCATTTGGTTTAAAGCAATTGCCAGTGTAGAAAAATCGACGAATGTCATCTTTGGTATATGTCTTAGGAGGGTCGTCGTGGTAAAGAAGCCGCTCACAAAGACGGCACAATGTTGTAGACATAGCACTATAGTAATAGTTTTTCCACTCCAAGTATTTCACGTATAAATCGTCGTTGGCATCTAGTTTTTTAAGATAATCAGCAAGTTCCTTTGGACTGGAGAAATCCGCAGTGTTAATGTACCAATCTTTGTGGAACCCAAGGCGAGTCATGTTGGCCCCGGAACGCACCACAGCCACTACGTCAATGTTGACCGTCTTAAAGAACTTTTCTGTAACATAATCAACTGCAAGACTGTTCTCAAAGGACAAGTAGAATTTATAATTTTCCAATTTTCTCAAACATTGCTCCTCATAGCCCATAATCTTTCCGGGTTCTTTCAAGCATTTGACTTTTCCTGGTCCACAGCGCCCATAGATGTCAATGTCAATGTACTTCTGTAATTCCTTCACATAATCCATACGACGCGAAGGGGTTGGGCAATGGGACACCATCCATGCGACCAAGCCCGTTTTCGCTTTAACAATTGACATGTAGTCTTTCTGCAACGGTTTCTCCCGACGATAGATTTGGGAGTAGGGTCCGTATAAATCAGATTCTAGCCTGTAGGTCAATGTCCAGTTGTAGGGTTCCCCAGTATCAGGCATGGGACCAAAACAGGGGGGTTCACCTTCAGCCCAAATCCATCTCTGTTCTGGTCGACGGAAAGCCAGTGGGGGATTTGGCCCTAACGACCTGTGAAAAATCAAAGCGTCGCTAATGTTGACCAAACGTTTGTCTTTTGTTAGCTTGCAGAGATGATGATGAGGACAATTTGAGCGTTCCAAAACGGTGTCTAGAGGTTCACCAATATCTGGTAACCATTCCCAGTTCCAAAGTAAAACGGTTTTCCTCTTCAGTTGCAGATTGGTTTTCTCTGGGTTTGACCGTGCTTCCTTATTGTTTGACTGTTTATTTTGATCTTCTTCATTCAGCAAGGGTTTGGGCTGAACCCTATGCTGGTCCCTTTGCTCCAAGGCTTCTGTAATATACAACGAAACAAACAAAAGTAGAAAATCGCCCAGAGTGTGCGGAGCTCCTCCAAGACAAAGAGTTAACTAATAATTATCACCATTAATTAATCAATGGATCATCATCAACATCAAATCACTTTGGAGTTAGCCCATTTCAGACCTATCATGAACATTTCACAACTTTTTGTGTTAGGCTGGTGACGAGCAAAGATACAAACAAAGAAACAAACAAACAAACAAACAGAGATGGAAACATAACCTCTTTGGTAATAAAACAAAAACGACAAGCAAACAAATCCAAAGTTCGCCTCCATAAATTGCCCACACAATGGCAAATTTCATTAATATGCAATTCTATTCTTAGCTTTTATCAAATTATTTTGAATTAATAATAAAAAATAAACCAATCAGTTATTTTTTGTTTTACTTTCCATTAACTTAATGTAGTGTCCTGTATTAACATGTACAGCTAAAGTGGTCTACGTTATTTTTCTCAAATATCTTAGACGGAAACTATTTTAACAAAAGATTCTGCAGACCCGTTCACCAAAGAGGTAACATGCACAGAAATACTATTTCATCGGGCGGATAATAAACACAGATAACTAATTTTGATTTCTGAAAAACAACCCATATAACTGAATGTTTGTGCCTCCTTTCTACGACCACAGCGATGCCAGTTTCATGGCTGCACAAAGGACGCAGCCTTAAGAAAGTTTTACCCAATGTACTAGTGAAGCGAGGTAGGTGGTAGTGGTGTGGTTGAAGATCCCTAGGAGGCGATTGCTTCAGGTCTACAGATTTTATACAATAAAGAACGTTAATTTGATTTTAAAATGTGTCCATGAAATCTAATTTATTCCAAAACATTATACGGCTTATTCTCCAGCTTCAGTGTTTTCCCATGTTTCTTCACTGATAAGAAATCGCTAGAATGCAAAGGAATACCTTACCTAGATCATCTTTCGTTTTTTCCTCTGTACCATTACTACTACTACTACCACGCAATGAATCGTAGAGATTCCGTATTTCAATGGCGGCTATGACAAGAAGGAAAAATCCGATTAGTGCCCGGTGCCTTTTCTTCATTTTAGCCGCTCAGCTTAGCTGTGGTAAATATAGGGAGTTGGATAGAACCAGATACAAAATGCCATATTAATATTAATCTTACGCCCTGATAGGCATATTACTAATTCCAGGGACTTATATTAAACACAAATGAAATATTTATATTACCAGCGTCTTTTTTATCATTATATGGGGATCCGTCGTTCTTTCCTTTTTTTCAAAGTACAGTAATGCAAGGTCTGCATATACTGATAATAAATTAGATGATCACTGTTGACCTTTTAAGAAGGATGGACAGGAGCTGAAGATGTGAAAGGCTGACTGACACAACATAGAATGTTTGAATCCGTTTTCAACAGACGCATTCTGCAAAAACTGCGACACGAACTGCATCTTAAAAAAAAAGGCAAAATACGTGTTCTATAATTGCCTCCAAATACGGATTGGTTCAAGAATTTAGAAAAAAAAAACAATAGAAGGCTGGTATGAAATCACTTGTAGCTGCTATTGTCAGATTTACTGTATCTGGCGAAAATACCCTAACACGGCCCCGTTTGAGAGTAAAAACTATTTTACGTGCTGACCACTGAACGGTCATTGCGATTCCTGATCTTTCATTCCTTTCATTTATACTCATAAACATTGATTGTGAGGCTTATTTCATATTGGACGTGACAAAATCTATGATAGAGTAAATAAACGACCTAAAAAGTTAAGGCATGCACATCAAACGAAGGACGAGAAAGAAAGTCAGTTGGGACATCTTTTCCTAATGTAGATCAGAAAAACAGCTCCAATGCTGGGATGTGTATGGTACAAAGCATAACAGGCCCGTAGCCAGGGGGGTTCGAAAGAACCGCCCCTATGTCAGGAAAAGGTCCATTTTGGGTAAAATTTTATCTAGGTACACATAAGTTTCATTGTAAAAGGTCCACTTTTTCAGAAAAAGAACCCCCCTTTTGAATCCGCTGGCTACGGGCCTGCATAAGATACATGTTCATGCTCTGTTTCCGTCTTAGATATACATAGCGCTAAGATACGCTCGTAGGCTTTAGGATTAAGGTAGAATGTTCACTTTCCAATGTCCAGTCACTGGTTTAGATGCTCGTGTTCCGGGGATAAAAACAGATTTTCACTTTCCAATATCCACTCGTGCAATCCACACAGATTGAAGTAACTATATTTTTAAGTATTTTAATAAATGTGAAATTTTCAGGTAAGAAGATGAGAATTAAACGTTTCAGATGAAGTTTTATTCAAGGGGTCTAATCGTCGTTAAGGCGATTTTTAACCGTTTTTATCCGGGCCCAGTTCGCCCTAAATCGGACATTTTGAATGTACATGTATTTGTATTGAAATGAAATTAATTTAGGTTGCATGGCCTAACAGCAATGTTTGAACCCAAATGTTATCACACTACGAGTAAGATCTACTACGTGTATACAATGGATGGCCAGGTTCGACTCAATCTTTATTAAGTAATATAGGAAAAACCTTCTCCATGCTGATTAATCACGTACTATGTCATTTGGTTTAAAACATGCATCAGTGTAGAAAAATTGACGAATGTCATCTTTGGTATATGTCTTAGGAGGGTCGTCGTGGTAAAGAAGCCGCTCGCAAAGATTGCACAGTGTTGTAGACATAGCACTATAATAATAGTTCTTCCACTCCAAGTATTTCACGTATAACGCGTCGTTAGCATCTAGTTTTTTAAGATAATCAGCAAGTTCCTTTGGACTGGAGAAATCCGCAGTGTTAATGTACCAATCTTTGTGGAACCCAAGGCGAGTCATGTTGGCCCCGGAACGCACCACAGCCACTACGTCAATGTTGACCGTCTTAAAGAACTTTTCTGTAACATAATCAACTGCAAGGCTGTTCTCAAAGGACAAGTAGAATTTATAACTTTCCAATTTTCTCAAACATTGCTCTTCGTAGCCCATAATCTTTCCGGGTTCTTTCGGGCATTTGACTTTTCCCGGTCCACAGCTTCCATAGATATCAATGTCAATGTACTTTTGTAATTCCCGCACATAATCCATACGACGCGAAGGGGTTGGGCAGTTAGACACCATCCAGGCGACCAAGCCCGTTTTTGCTTTGACAATTGACATGTAGTCTTTCTTCAGCGGTTTCTCCCGACGAAATATTTGGGCGTAGGGTCCGTATAAATCAGAGTCTAGCCTGTAGGTCATTGTCCAGTTGTAGGGTTCCCCGGTATCAGGCATGGCACCAAAACAGGGGGGTTCACCTTCAATCCAAATCCATCTTTGTTCTGGTCGACGGAGACTAAATGGGGGCTTTTCTCCTAACGATCTGTGAAATATCAAGGCGTCGCTATTATGGACCAAACGTTTGTCTTTTGTTAGCTTGCAGAGGTGGTGATGAGGACATTTTGATCGCTCCAAAACGGTGTCTAGAGGTTCACCAATATCTGGCGTCCAGTTCCAGTTCCAAAACAAAACGGTTTTTGTCTTCTGTGGCTCGGAGGCTTTCTCTATCTTTGTCTCTTGATTTTGATTTTCTACATCTAGCATGACGTTAGGCTGGACTCTACTCTGGTCTTTTTCCTCCAAAACCTCTGTAATATACAGTGAAACGAAAAAAATAAAACAAAAACAGTGAGAAACAAGCAAAACGCCCGACCCGCCAACCGGACACCAAAGCAACTAGCAAACAAACCAAACAACGACTCAGCCAACTATCCATGAACAAATATATAAGGGGATTTAAAACCCCAAAGCTCACCAACCTTTTCACTGAAGAGTTAGATGCACAGTTTAAATGGAATGTAAAGACCTATTAAGCAAAATGGAACTTAGGGCAGGATGATACTGCATACGCCTCTAAATACGCTTAACGGTTTTCGATACGTAAGGTGTCGCTACTTATCAGATGAGATAATAAAAATTATTACACTGAATAAGAAAAAAAACACATCAAAAATACACCAGGGTAAATTTTCTTATTTAAGATGATGACGTAAAAGCAGGGCTTTTAGGGTGTGAAAACTGAAATATAGATTTCAAACACACCTCCCTCACCTGAGCATCTATGCATGCCGTTTCGAAGCCTATTTTATCGCAACAATAACTACTACAATTTGATTTCAGGAAATTGTCTTGAAAGGCTCACTACTGATTTTATCAGAAAAAAAGAAGAAAAAAATTTCCATGCATTCTCATTTATTCCAAAACATCCAAAGACACATTTCTTCAGCTTCACGACTAATGCGAAATCATTAAAAAACAAATAAGAACTTTACGTACCTAAATCAGGTTTCTGCTTTTCTGTACCCCTACTACCACGAAATGAATCGTAGAGATTCCGAATTTCAATGGCGGCTATGGCAAGAAGGCAAAATCCAATAAGCGCATTCCGCCTGCGATTCATTACGACACCTCGGCTGATCGGAAGTAAATGGGAATAATGATAAATTTTCAGGTAATGTTAATTCATCAAACCACAGTCAGATAGTAGAACAAGAGACTGTACTGTGCTGTATTCGACATACAGCGGATACAGCAGGTCATGTATGAATGCGTTCCCACCTCGCAGTACTAACAGACTCAGTTCAGCTAAGGAGCCCAGCCAGTATGAAAAATGTGTATATCAAGAGTCAAGATAAATTATTTAAGTCTCACCCATATACAGTAAATGTAAATATAAGTAGATAAAAAACAACAAAGTAGTTCCATAAGGGACTAGGTGAGGCTTAACATTTAATAATGATGTACATTAAACATTATATAGAGATTTTATTTATATTTATTTATAGATTTATAAATTTCTCCTTAATTCTATAACTCAGCGACAGGTTTTGGCTGTTCATTATCAATCAAAAGTAAAACTTGCTTTTATCACCTAAAGGTCAAAATTGTTATTAAAACATCTCGCATAATTTAAAAGTACAATGCCTTTATCGTTGAAAAAGGACAGTGAATCGTCCTCAAAAGACTCATATTCACATAGGGGACAAGTTCTCTCCGGAATAACTAATTTTTCATATCAACCTGTTTCTTTATTGAATCTTAGCTAAAGCCGGAAATCCTGCAATATGAAAATTGTGTCGAGAGTTGTTTCTTTTCCTTCATATTATATAGTACTATGAAGCAATATCTACTCAAAGCATGCACCATGCTAAACAGAAAATTTGCACCTCTCTCACTCAGTGCCTTTGGAACGTAAACCAATGGTTTCCTTGGGTAGGAGCCCGAAGTCACAAACCGTGTTATATATCTACACTGATTGTAGATATATAACACAAACCGTGTTATATATCTACAATCAGTGTTGTACATTTAACTATATGTAATTAAATATTTATATTACCGTCGCCTTATTCTTTCACCATCATATGCAGGTCTATCATACGTCGTCTTAAAAGCCATAAGTATAAGTTCACACGTCTTAAGCTACTTTCACACAATAGCTATAGCCCGAAGAGTATTGGTCTAAAGTTTAAGAGTGCATTCAGAACAGCAAACTAACAGATCCGCATATCAAATATGGCGACCCACTAGAAAACTTGTCGCTCAATTCCCGATTAGACACTGAATAGATCCCCCGCGGGGATTACGCAGCAAGCTTTCCAGTGGGTCGGCCATATTTGATCCGCGGATCCGTTAGTCCACTGTTCTGAATGCGCTCTTAGACTCATATCAAGTACCACTTTAGTTCAAGCATGGACAAAATTACGTTAATATGTTCAAGGTTCAAGATAAATCCGTGGTATTCAGCATAAATAAAGTATTTGTCTGAAACATTTTCAACATCACATCTGTTATAAGATAGGCCCAACTAATTATAATGATGAAATTTTAAACTGTTCAATTTCTACACAAGCTGACACCTGTACCTGTGGTAGCTTCCGTCTCTACACTTGGGACTTTATCAATCACACTGAAATCATGAGGCAGCCGTCCGGTGAGAACTGCTCACTATCACACTGTCCCAGATGTGAGTAAAGCTGTGCTCCCCCCTCCCCCGCCCCCGTCCTTATTCAGTGAAGGTCTCTGGGGCCCGAATGTAAATAGCCACCTTCACCCCTTGATTGAACCACAGGGGGTCTCGGTCCATGATCTCCACACGGATGGTTTGCAGCAACGGATGTGAAATATGGAGTTTTATAGTTTTTTAAAATATGATTGAGAAGAATATAAATTGATATAATTCTGTAAAATTCTGTAGACTTTTGTTGAATTTGAAATCTAGCCCGGCCAAAATTATTAATCTTTTTATAAGTGCCAAAATTAAGCCCCCCTAAACACTGGACGGCGTACTTTCTGTGTCCCTTTTGACACCGTCCAGTGTGAAGGTGGTTTAAGCCACCTTGCAGCGACCAACCACTGTTTTGAACATGGCATTCTTAGCGATGCCTGAACGCTTTGTGTGCTTTCTAAGGGACCATTCAGACTGAGAAGAGCCTAGTGCTAGCAAGGCCGCGACCTTAATATGGCGGACCTACATGAAAGGAAGACCGCTTATCCTGTAATGGTCTCTCCACCTCTCACACGCCTCCCCACGCGTCGTCCCTGCACGGGCACAATCTCGGCTTAATTCAACCGGTCAGCTAGCCAGATAACGACCATAAAGACAAGAAAATTTTAAATCCTAGTAACGTATGTTCTAGGACCTCGATCCCTCGAAACGCTATACCTGCATTCTCAGGACTACCATTCCTGTTTCACAAAATAGCTATAGCCCGAAGATTGGTCTAAACTTTCAGATCCGAATCTTGGGATATTTTAAGTTCCAGAAAAATATTTGCTTCATGTCGTGATACATTTTAATGTGACACATTTTAAAAGTGCTTGGCAATGACAACAGCAGAGAGAGATTGTAGGAATTTTGTTTTATATGTAGTCATGTTTAAGCCTTGGTCACTGCTGAGATGTGTATGGTACAAAGCAAAAGATACATCAGGCCTGTGTCCTGGGAGGGGGGGTATTGGGGGGGGGGGAGCGAAAGAACCTCCCTTTTTGCTGGGAAAATGTCCACTCTGGTAAACTTGATCCAGGTAAACGAAGGCTTCATGACAAAAGGTCCACATTTTCAGAAAGAATCCCCCATTTCCAATAGCTGGGTACGGGCCTGTATATGTTCACGCTCTGTACCTGTCTTAGATATACATGTAGTTAGATATGCTCCTAGGTTTGGGGCTTAAGGAAGGATGTTCACTTTTTCCAATGCCCGTTCTCACTCTCCAATATCCATCCGTGTAATCCACAAAAATTGAAGTATATATACTTTAAAGTATTAGCATGTGATATTTTGAGATAAGAAGATGAAAATTGAATGTCCAGTGTCTGTCCAACAATGACGTCAATATATGATTATTTTAGGCCAAAGGACAGCTGACAAAAGCATGTGTTTCCACTTTAACACTGCAGTACGGAATTCTTGTATTACTACATTTCACAACTATGCACAATTTGTTGTCTCAACTGTCAGATTCAGTGTGTCAAACAACATTGTCTTTTTTTCCGTGTTTTTCTGCCTTGTGACATATACTAATTTAAGATGCGGTAAATATGGAAAATTCGAAGTCGAGCTCAGTTTTTTTTTAATCCAGCCTATATTATATTCAGCTTTTGCAATATTACCAATGTAAAAGATATTATTTTAATAACAAACATTAAAATATTTGTAACAACTGATATAGGGGAAACCAGCGTGCCTTTAGCAAGTACATCAGTTGGTGGTTCTTGGAATAATTTAGTAATTTACGATATAAAAAAAATCTATATAATAGAACGGATAGATAAGTTGTAAAAACATCGGGTTGCAGCTGTTCAGAAGAAAGTCTACGGAGAACTCCCGAGTTTTACAATGGTCTTATAAAGTAATTCTGTCATGGCTACCTGAGAAGACTGACGAAATTTTAATGACAGTAGGTACGTTTCAGATGAAGTTTTATTGAAGGGGTCTAATCGTCGTTAACGCGTCAATTGGATATTCTGAATGTACATATATTTGGATCGAAATGAAGTAAATTCAGGTTGGCCTAACAGCACTGTTTGGACCCATGCAATTGTTATCAAATCACGAGTAAGATCTATTACATGTATATGATGGATGACCAGGTTCGACTCAATCTTTAATAAGTAAGAAAACCCTACTCAAGCTGATTAATCACGTGCTATATCATTTGGTTTAAAACATGCACCAGTGTAGAAAAATCGACGAATGTCATCTTTGGTATATGTCTTAGGAGGGTCATCGCGGTAAAGGAGCCGCTCGCATAGATGGCACAATGTTGTAGACATAGTACTATGGTAATAGTTCTTCCACTCCAAGTATTTCACGTATAAATCGTCGTTGGCATCTAGTTTTTTAAGATAATCAGCAAGTTCCTTTGGACTGGAGAAATCCGCAGTGTTGATGTACCAATCTTTGTGGAACCCAAGGCGAGTCATGTTGGCCCCGGAACGCACCACAGCCACTACGTCAATGTTGACCGTCTTAAAGAACTTTTCTGTAACATAATCAACTGCAAGACTGTTCTCAAAGGACAAGTAGAATTTATAATTTTCCAATTTTCTCAAACATTTCTCCTCATAGCCCATAAGTTTTCCGGATTCTTTTAGGCATTTGACTTTTCCCGGTCCACAGCTTCCATAGATGTCAATGTCAATGTACTTCTGTAATTCCTTTACATAATCCATACGACGCGAAGGGGTTGGGCAATTTGACACCATCCACGCGACCAGACCCGTTTTTGCTTTGACAATTGGCATGTAGTCTTTCTGCAGTGGTTTCTCCCGGCGGAAGATTTGGGCGTAGGGTCCGTAGAAATCAGATTCTAGCCTGTAAGTCATTGTCCAGTTGTAGGGTTCCCCAGTATCAGGCATGGCACCAAAACAGGGGGGTTCACCTTCAACCCAAATCCATCTCTGTTCGGGTCGACGGAGACCCAGTGGGGGATTTTCTCCTAACGATCTGTGGAATATCAAGGCGTCGCTCACATGGACCAAACGTTTGTCTTTTGTTAGCTTGCAGAGATGGTGATGAGGACAATTTGAGCGTTCCAAAACGGTGTCTAGGGGTTCACCAATATCTGGCATCCAGTTCCAGTTCCAAAACAAAACGGTTTTTGTCTTCTGTGGCTTGGAGGCTTTCTCTATGTTTGTCTCTTGGTTTTGGTTTTCTACATCTAGCATGAGGTTAGACAGGACTCTACTCTGGTCTCTTGGCTCCAAAACTTCTGTAATATACAATGAAACGAAAAAATAAAACAAAAACAGCAAGAATCACGCAAAACGTCCGACCGACCAACCGGACACCAATGCAACTAGCTAACAAATCAAAGAACGACCCAACCAACTATCCATGCACAATAATAATAATAATAATAATATTTATAGTCTAAAATCCAACATGTGTTCAGTAGACTTTACAAAAATTATAAAATTCAAATTAAAAGGAAAATATTGCTAATGGTTATAAGATGAAGAAAAGGAAAATGATTATAGAAAAATATTAGGATATATAAAATGGATAAAAAAAGGGGGAAATTTAAAACTATGACTAAGAACAGTTTTTCTTAAGAAGTGTTTTTTCAAGAATTTAAAGATAATAATGTTTAAAAAAGTGGGTTTTTAGTTCCTTTTTAAAATGTCCAGGGTCCACAATTTGTCTAAGACTGATGGGTAAAATATTCCATTCTTTTGGTGCTGCAAATTTAAAAGCTTTATCACCGTATGATACTAATCTTGCCTTATAAGCCTTAAGAAGAAGGTGATCAAACCAATGTTTCTAATATTGAACATACATGTTTTAGATACGTTAGAAATTTGCCTGTTCATGAACAATGTACTGTCAAAATAAACTCCCAGATTTTTGGCGTGAGATGAGACTTGTACCACGCTGGCACCTATTGACATGCTAAGACTGCGGGCAATGTTCTTATTGTGTGGTTGAGATATTACTAGGAATTCAGTTTTCTCGTCGTTGATCTTGAGTTTGTTTCTGATCATCCACCCCCTTATATCAGAAATACAGTTGGCTATTTTAGTAATTGATGATTCAGGGTTTCTAATATTGCAGGATGTGTAAAGCTGAGTGTCATCAGCATAAATGTGATAACCAATCTCATGAAAACGAAGGATTGCACCAAGCGGTAAAGTATAAATACAAAATATGAGTGGTCCTAACACACTGCCTTGTGGAACACCAAAGACAAGTTAAGCTAATTCAGAGAGAACTCCGTCCACGCATACTTGTTGTGATCTGCCTGTGAGGTAAGAACGGAAAAGATTTAGTGCTGTATCTTTTATCCCAACAGTATCTTCCAAAAATGACAGCAGTACCTGATGATCAACAGTGTCAAATGCGGCCGATAGGTCCAAGAGAACAAGTAACACAGCGGAGTGACTGTCGACCGCACAGGAGATTGACTCGGTAAGGAGTGCTGACTCGGTGCTATGGTTCACCTTGTATGCCGACTGCATCTTCTCAACCAAGTTATTTGCATCTAAGTGATTGAACAATCTTGTGGCGATCACACGCTCTACCACTTTAGACAGAAATGACAAGTTAGATACAGGTCGATAATTTTGCAAGAGTTCTGCATTTAGGTTAGGCTTTTTCAGTAGTGGACGGATAATTGCAGACTTAAACAATTCAGGAAAATTCCCGGTTTTAAAGCAAATGTTTACAATGTGAGTTATGAGACCAATGATTGCAGGGAGAATCTGGGAGAGCAGTGTTGTCGGCGTAGGGTCAAGGAGGCATGATGTCTTCTTAGATCTAGAAATGATTTTTGTCACCTCGTCTTCCGTTGCTTCCTCAAAGGCAGTAAGTAAGAGTGAAGGCTTCGGGAGAAGATAAAAGATCGGGGGATGTAATGGTGTTGCAACTGTGTGTTCTAATGATTCAAGTTCGCCATATATTTTACTGATTTTTGCGATGTAAAAATATATGGTGATTTAAAACCCAAAAGCCCCAAATCCTTTTCATTGAAGAAGCACAATTTAAATGGGATGTAAAGACCTATTAAGCAAAATGGAACTTTTTTTGTCAGGATGACAGTACGTACGCCTCAAAATACGGTCTTAGATACGCAAGGTTTCGTTCCTTATCCGATGAGATAATGCAGTGATAAACATTGCAATGTTTTTAGATAATAAACCACATCAGAAATTCACCAGGGTGAAATTTCTCATTTGAGATGATGACGTACATGTAGCAGGAGGGCTTCTGGGGTGTAATTTCAAACACACCTCCCTCACCTGAGCATCTATGCATGCCGTTCTAAAGTCTATATTAATCGCAACAATAACTACTACAATTTGGTGTCAGGAAATTGTCTTGAAAGGCTCACTACTGATTTTATCAGAACAGAGGCAAAAATGTTTCCATGCATTCAGATTTATTCCAAAACATTCAAAGATGCATTTCTTTAGCTTCATAACTAAGACGAATTCATTACAAAACTAATAAAAACTTAACGTACCTAAATCATGTTTCTGCTTTTTCAGTACCCCTACTACCACGAAATGAATCGTAGAGATTCCGAATTTCAATGGCGGCTATGGCAAGAAGGCAAAATCCAATAAGTGCTTTCCGCATGCCCTTCATTGCAACACCTCCGCTGATTGGAAGTAAAATGGGAATGATAAAATTTCAGGTAACGTTACTGCATCAATTGATTAAACCACAGCTAACTAGTAGAACCAGAGACTCGATCTTCCGTGCTGTATTCGACATACAACATGTACGAACGCTCAGTATCTGTTTGTCAAGTAGCCCAGTATCTGTATGTCAAGATTCAAGATAAATGCATTAGGTCTCACCCATATACAGTAAATGTAAATACAGGTAGATACAGGTAGATAGAATACAGGTAGATTTTTAACATCATCCTGGTTCTTTATCGAGTCCTAGCTAACGCCGGAAATTTTGCAAATATGAAAATGCAAGTTGTGTCGGTTTTTTTCCCCATCAAATTATGCTACTATGAAGCAATATCTACCCAAAGCATCCACCAAGGTCAAGTGCGGATCCAGGATTGTTTGAAGGGAGCGGGGGGGGGGGGGGGGGGGGCCTTTTTTAAACCGCCCGACCCCCCCCCCCCCCCCCCCCCGGGGGGGGGGGGGGGGCCGCGGGGAGGCCCCCAAAAAAAA